GTCATAATTGTCCACAGAAGTTACAACTGCACAAAAGTGTCCACATAATCATCAGCAGCTCAGCTTAATTCAAAAGCCTGTTTACCTTAATAACCAATTACTCACCCAATGTCACCACTTCCACAGTGACTGGTACGGATATCTTCTCTGCTACCTTGTGCCAGCTGCCATTGTGTTGTGGCACCCACAGAGCTGCTTGACAGTAGTAGTAACCAGAGTTTTCAGTGCCTACATCACGTATCAACAGGTTGTAATTACTTCGATCTACATGGCTGGGGCTGATAAAGGTGGAGTCACTAATTACTAAATCACGGTCGGCATTCAGCAAAACCTGAGCCTCTGCCATGGTGCCATCTGGAGATTCATTGAAGTACCATGTGATTTCTGTTTGGAAAATACCACTTCTGTCCGTTGTGATGTTGCAAGTAAGTTCAAGGGATTCTCGTTCCATTACAGATATATTGTTTCTGGTGATGAACACATCTAAAGCTGCAGAATTGGGAGTGAGGGATGAAGGAAACAAGATCAAGGATTATTGTTAACTTCCAAGTATTACTTGACTTGTAGTTCATCAACTGTGATCCTGTCAGCTTGTACAAGTGCATATAATTAGCTGCATATACATTAGTATTCATGGGCAAACATGTGTATTACTGAGTAACACAGTTAAAGCACTAACCTATTCAACTGGTTTCTATTTGTATAATAAGTTTATGCAAATTTACAATACAGCTTCAGTTTTCTTGCAGTTAATGCCACCATTTTTCCTCTTATACTCTGATACTCCGAGCATAAATATTTTTCAGCTGAAATACAAAGTAATCTATCTTAAAGATATTTTAAATGTAAGCTACTCTTCAGATGTCTTTTCAACATATGATACTTCATTAAATTACATACTGTAAATTCGGTCACTTTTTCACAGAATCTCACAAGTCTCCTATGGTGTTTGACATGTGCAATCCAATACGGTACAATCCAGTACTACAGTACTATATTTTTATAAAGCTTGAAGACCAAGAAAATTCTCTTCTCCGACTTCTCCAAAACTGGCCAAAACTGAACAGATTAACAAAATGGAACATACATATAACTGCAAACAGGTTGCCAAAAAGGCTGGCTGACAATGGAGTATGTGACCACCATACAGCCTGGCTTATACAACAATAATCCACAAAGAAGAAATATCAGAAGGAAACCTTTCCTGTGACTTCATAACAAAAGTAATTACCAGTCACCTAGCAAGGTGTCAAAAACTTGATGACTTTCTGACAAGCAAAGTCAATGGGGAAACCAGATTCACTTAACAACCGTGTTATTAATTTAACAACTGCAGTGATTCACTTAAATGTGGCAAGAAAAGTCATAAAATGGGACAAAACTCATTTAACAAATTTCTCACTTAGCAACATAAATTTTGAGCTCATAGGTTGAGGACTATCTGTACACCCGCTTCCCACACTTTTAATGGAAAACTTGTGCCTGTTTCTCAGACATTAATCTTCGCACTGTTCTATCCCCTTCTCTCCCTCTGCTTGCCTCAAAGAAGCCCCTCCGTCACTTCCTCTTTCCCCATTGTCTTTTTTTTACTCCCTTTCCCACCAAAACCTCTTCCTTTTATATCCTTTCCTCTCTCCCCCCTCCTCCTCCTCCTCTCTTCAGTGCAACTCCAGCTGACTCTTCTCCCCCAAGCTGCACTTTGCTTCCAGAAGTGCCAATCAGCTGGAGCCCCGTGCTGATCGGCTGGAGCCCCACACCAATCCTGGGCACTCAGCAGAGCTCCGGCAACACAGCAGCTCCAGCTGACTCTCCCACAAACCTGTGTGGCGCTGCCATCACTTTAACTCATTCCCCCACAATACTTTTACACTTTTTTACAGTGCTTTTCAACCCGTTGTATGCATATCACCTGCCAGATGCCAAAGTACCACCAGTAGTATGCGTACCATGGGTTGAAAGCACTGGCCTAGAGTATATAATTTTCAATGAGCCTGATGAAACAAAAATTGATCAGTTTGCCATAACAAATTCAGGTGTGGAAAAAAAGAATAAAATACTGAATGGCCACCTTGCCAACTGTTAACCTTAGGGGATGGTTTTGCAGTTGATGAAATACTGTGCAGATAGATATAATTCAACTGATTCAATTAAATACCAACATATCTTAGAACCTGAGATTCCTCAATCAATGAAAAAATTAACACTGAACAATGGTTTACCATTTCATTAAAGCAACAATCTAAAATCCACTACAGAAAGTAAGGGATAGTCCCTTATTATGTGAATATTATTGAAAATCTGAGGAGAGGTTCAAACATAATGTGCATGGAACTGTTATTTCTACAAACATATTCAGGCGTTTGTTCCTGTCATATTCTTTGTTTTTGGTTTTAATCTGTAAATATCTGCATATAAATACTAAGCATGCATTCCAAGTTGCATAAAAAAGATTGTGTTTGCCCTTGTACAATGTAGAGGCTGTATCAGTTTCTATTCATTTAGTGATTCAAGAAACATTGAATTTTATCAGGTGCCTAAAACTTTAGCAGGCACCTGAAAGTGCTCAAAAAAGACAACGGAAATTTTGCAAACATTATAAAACCAAACCTATATTTCAGATTATAAATGTTCTGTTATATTTAAAATATTACAATAATTTTCTGTGCATATGTCTAAATATATCATAATCTGACTTGTCAAGAAACCATCTTGCTTATTGGCCACCTCAAAAAATAATACTTGCCTGCTGTTCTATGAGTTGCAATATGAATAATGGAACACTGTATTGGCCCTTTATTAAAGCAGTAATAATAATAGAGTGGTGTAAACACTAATCTCCTGACCAAAAACAATAATTAAATTAAGAAATTCAGTACAAAATCAAAAGTTAAAACTGTAAAATGTAAAGTTATCACTAAAATATCACCACAGTAAACATCACCCAAAAAATTAAAAATCCATAAAAGCAGCCAAACCAGTTAATCATAAAATTTCTGCTTAGATACAAATACTTTTGCTTAACAATGAAGTATGATATAAAAAGGCAATCTGAATTCTTTTAGTATGAAGCTATAAAGCCTACTAATGTTCAGTGATTATTCTCCTGCAGCTTTTAAAATATGATAAAGTTGGTCTCAACTGAACTTTTAGGTAGCTTATTTTGATAAAAATAGAATAAAATTCAAACACAACATTTTGAATTTGTGCCATACCAATTCAAACAATTTTATAAACCTAGAGTTGGAAGGGAACCTCAAAGATCTGCTAGTCCAACCCCTGCCCAAGGCAGGAATCCTCAACCTATGTTGTGGAAAAGATTCTCCAACTTTTGTTCGAAAACCTTCAGTGCTATTCCAATATTTAATAGCAATTACAATTTGTAAATTTTTCCTATATTCTTTTCTTATATATTCCCCTATAGAAAAATATAAAAATCTAATTTAACAGCAAATAGGACAATAAAAATGTGGTCATAAGTTAAATATGTGTGTCTATATGTATGCATATGAATCAGTGATAAATATATCTTAATCAGGCCAGTTTTTCAAGCTGTAGCTATATATTATACATCAAATCTATGGTATTACCATAAAAATGAATATTGCATACTCACATGTTGGTTTCACCACCAAATTTACTATATCAGCAGTCTTCTCTTGGATCTTTTGCCATGAACCATCTGCACCTTTAACCCACTCACTCACTTGACACCTATAAGCACCTTCGTCTGTTGGAAGAGCCTGGGACAGAGACAGGCTGTAAATGTCATTAGCCATTGCATCTAGGCGCACATCCCCACTGATATAGCGGTCACTGTATTCTGAGCCAGTCCGGAACTTGCCCTCGTGTGTCAGGGAAAGGATTTCTTGCCAAACATGGTCACTCCTGAACTCCCAAGACACTTGCAGATGGGTGTGTTCGGTAGAATTGGTAGAAGCTGAACAACGTAATTGAAATGTATCTCCTTCTGATACGTTCCAAGTTGATGAGGAGTACAAGTTCGATCCAGTAACAGTTAACCCGTCTGCAATCACTATTTAGAAAAAAGAGGATCATAAAGCACACAATTATAATAAACCTTTTCCCATGCCCATTATCTCTTCTCTTGTTTGTTTTCGTTTTGAAGACTGAAGAGGTATAAAATAAGATACAAATTCGAGGAAATAAAGATTAAAAAAGAAACTTATAAGTTAAGGCACTATGTCAGATGACTGGATGTTGGTTCCTTTAAACAGAATTGCAATAGTAATCAACAATTTAAAAGAACTTGGATATTACTAAGTTTCAAAATTAATAAAGAGAAAACTAACATGTTAACAAAACTATGAAAATAAAAGATCAAGTAGAACTAATGAACAAAATATGTTTGAAGACTGAGAAAAAAGTAAAATATCTGGGTAACAATATGATAAATATGAACTGTAGATTTTTTTTTTTCAAAACAACTACATTAAGACGAAATTAATTTTAAAAAGACATATTAAGTTGGGGGAAATAGAATTTAGGGTTGCCTAAAGCGGAGGTCCCCAACCTTTTGGGCACCAGGGACTGGTTCCGTGGAGAGAAGTTTTTCCTTGGACTGGAGGGTACGTGGTTTTGTGTGCAAATTATTTGCTTCAACTAATTCCTAACTAAACAAAGGTTACACACAATGTCTACATAGTACACAGCTAAACATAACATCTTTTTGCAAATTTGATTGCATACTTACAAGTTATATGCAGTACTAAGTATGCATTCAAATTTTCAAGAATTTTGGACCAGGTTATTAGCTTCCGTTAACTTTGGTACTCCTTGAAAATGTAATTTGACCAGGGGTGCCTAAACTTTTGCCTGAAACTGTATCAGTAGGACCCACATGTTAACAAAAATATTTTTCCCACAGAACTGTAAATCCAATAAGAAAATATTTGAAAAATTTTGGTTTAAGTCCAAATCCTTTAAATTCCTTCAGGAAAAAAGTGCACTGGTTCAACTATGGCCAGATTTGAGGCCTGGTCACATATGTTAATTTAGGGTACAATGTCTACTTGCTGATTTTCTGTTCCCATCTCCATGCAAAATGACACGTAAATATATAAAGCATATAGCATATATACATTTAAAATCTCTTTTAAGTTTAGATCATTTCAAGACATTCCACACAATATGTTTAAAATTACACTAAACCACTACCAATATAAATACCCCTCACCCTGTTGAAGTACCTTTAACTTCAACTACATCATTGTAGTTTCCCTGGACGACACTGTCTGTGCTGGGTGTAGTACATCGGTAAATCCCTTGATCAGTAGGACGAATATTTCCAATCACGAATTCCACAGCACTGTTGCTTTCTCGCCTTAACGTGATCTCTCCCCTATTAACCCGATCTTGATATTCTGGAGACATAAACCAAGGGTCCCATGTACTCAATATGTGTACAAACTTAGAATCCTGACCAAGATTTGCCGAGAACTCCCAATCAAAGTTCTGCTCACTAGGTCCACCATACTGACTAACATTACATGGAATCACCACTTCGGTTCCCTCAACTCGTATTAATGGTCCTTCAGGCACCTTCACAATACGACCATGGCAGGAAACTGAAAGAGAAAAAAACCAAATGTGAATTTAAAATATTAAATTATCTAATGCAGCAGAAAAAGTTATCCTGAAAGATGGAATCCTTCATTGTGGTAATTTAAGTTACATTTTAAGACTTTCAAGTCTATAAATAGGCAGTTACACTATACATCTACAGCTGCAGCATTAATTAAAGCAGAACAGCATAAAGATATATAGACTGCAAAACTGCTTAGCTTTAATTTGGTTTCAATGCTTAACACATGTATGACTCATTCCAGGTACTTTCATCTTTAACTGATGGAAACTTGTCTTTTGAAATCAATTTAGAATTGCATTTAGGGCAACAATCCAGAATAACATATGTAAAATTTCTTTTGCTCCAATGCTCAAGAGCTATCCTTTCACATTTATTCCATATCAAAAACTATCAAACAATGGAAGATTTACTTGTCACAGAACTGAAGGGAATGTACATCATTTTTATTACCTTTGCTGGACACCAAAGAAATTTTAAATATCTACTTCTACTGTGTTTCCCCGAAAATAAGACCCGGTCTTATTTTTTAGTTATTTATTTATTTTTGCCTCCAAAAGATGCACCAGGTCTTATTTGGGGGGGGGGAGTGTCTTTTCCACTCACCTCACGGCGACACCAGCAGCCCCGTCCTGCCGGCCCACTTCTTCTGTGGCTGAAGAAGCAGCTTCATTCTGCAGCTAAGAATGGAGCTCGGGCCTGCATTTCGCTGTCAGAGGCCTTTCCGGAAGGCCTGTTCAGCCAAGAACCAAGCTATGGATTGAATCCTTGAATGGCAAGGCAAGTGCCGATCCATGGGAGGCCTGGCTGCAATGGCAAGCTTCACCCCCACCCTAGCTTGATTTTTAGGCATGCACCTCGCCCTAAAACTAGGGCTTATTTTTGGGGTAGGGCTTATATTAGGCCCACCCCCCAAAATCAAGCTAGGGCTTATTTTCGGGGTAGGTCTTACTTTCGGGAAAACACGATAGCTAGGATAGACAAAACTCAGTCTCTATCTCATAGTCTGCTTCTCCTGAAGACTAGGTATCTTCAAGACCTATCAAGTGACTTTGGCAGGCTCTCTTACTTCCTAAGAATACTAATCAAACACTGCCTTTATTTCCTTTTCCTTAAAAGGAAAGAAGTATTTCAGCTACAGAGACTTTGTTCAGTTTCAATTTTTAAATAAAATCATTTAAACATGTGATCCCATTCCATCATAAATGCATATATGTTTGGCTTAGCTTTCCATAAAGTTATACCAGTAGGAATCCCAAATGCTGACAATATGACAACCCATTTCTTCAGCCTCATGAAGTGAAAAGACAACTTTGTTCACTGAGAATAAAAAGAACCTATATTCTTTTATACAGAATACAGGTATTCCCAACTTACAACCA